ATCCCATCCATCCCATTCCATCTCACTCCATCCCATTTCACTGCATCCCATCCCATCCCTTCCCATCCATCCCATTCCATCTCACTGTATCCCACCCCATCCCAAAGCAGCATGGGGCCCAGCTCACCTCCAGGAAAGAACCAGTCAGCATGCTGGATGAGTGGCTCAATGATGCCCACAATCTGCAGGGAGACGGTCGTCATCATCTCCGTGATATTCCTGCAACACAGCAGGCAGCAAGCAGCTCGATGGCTTGCCATCTCACCATGCCCCAACCCCGCTCCCTGCTGAGATCTGCAGCCCCCCATCCCTTGGCTCTACCACCTTCTGCTCTGCAGCACCTCCTGGAGTGCAGGAGCTGCTCCCACATTGTAGGAACAAACCTTCTGGCCCCACACCCACGGCCCAGAGCTATGGCTTTACCCCCATCACCCCTTTGCACCCTTGTATCACGCAAGCCCATGGCCATACGCTACCCTTCTGCCTGTGGCCACAGAAGGTTGGGACCCAGCACGATGGCCACGTTGCTCGGCGTCATTTTGTTCATGTCCTGGTACTCAGTCAACTTGGCCAGGAATTTGATCAGGTACCTGGAGGGGTGAGCGCAGGCACGGTGAGGTGGGACGTGCCCTCTGCAGCCCCAGCACAGCCCCTCACCACCCCACGCTCACCTGATGTTGTTGTAGTTGGCCTTGGGCAGCTTCTCGCAAGCATTCCATAAGGCCTGCAGCCTCTTCTCCTGCTCTGGGATGCTATGAGAGGGGAAGAGCTGTGTGTCCCCAAGTCCGTGAAACACCAACCCACTATGTTTCGTGTCAGGGCACTCATTCCTTTACCCAGCCACTGTATAGATGAGCATCTACATATACATCTACACCAAGGCCATCCTTGCTGCTTAGGCATGGCATGCCCAAGGAACATCACTAAGAGCCCCTGGACACTAACATTGGCCACTGGGTCAGAAATAAGTCAAGGAAAGTGCCCAGATGGATGCACAGGAGTGCCAGCAGACTCTGCACATGGGCTAAAAGCCCTTGTGCTCAGCACCCTCACCCCAGGGGGAACTGCCATGGGTCAAAAATCTGCTTGTTTGGACCCTCCTGAAATTCAGTCCCAAGACCACTTCCCGTTCTGGACTCACTTGGAGGCCTGGATCCACTCCTCGTACAGCTCGAATGTCATCAGTGGCTCTGGCAGCTCGCGCAGGTAGGACTTGAGTGCTCCTGCAGCACATTAGGTTTCATGGAGGCTCCTTGAAATCCAGCACCCTCTGAATTTTCACCCCACCTCTCCCCTCGTAGCTTCCCCCTCTCACTTGTACCTCCCCCAGCCCCTGTCTCCTTTTTGCCAGGCACATGCCCAGCACTGCCTTGTGCTGTGGGCACCCTAGAGCTGTGGGCATGCCCTCCAGCTCAGCACAGCCCCATGAAGGCCCTCGGTGCCTTCCCTGATAGGAACCAGAGCCCACATTTTGCAGCGCAGCAGGGAAGGGAAAAGCTCATTTGCATTTAAACCAAACTACGGGGTAACATAGCACAGCAGGATGGGCTCTGCATGGAGGGAGCATCCCGCACCACCACAGAAGCAGCAGAGATAAGACTGTAAACTCCATGCATGTCCATCCTGCAGAGCATCTCCTGCTCGGCACAGCCACATGGGGAGGGAAACTGGGGTCACTTGAGGCACATGCACCCAGTGAGATTTGGGCTTGAAAGCAGTCCCTGGGTGCAGAGCAGCACCCTTTGGGAACTGAGGCACCCCCCAGCCAACAGCCCCCACAATCCTCACCTGCAATGGCATGCGGGTCAGCTGAGTACTCCTGCACGTCCACCACGCAGCAGTCCAGGGCAGCCTTCAGCTTCTTCAGCTTGGAGGCAGAGGGAGCCACACGGAACAGGCCCTTGGCACAGCACACGGGACAGCGTCGGTGCCGGGGGAAAACCCCCAGATCTCCCCTGGCCACTCATCCCCCTGCACGGGATGCAGCCAGGCCGTCCCCACGGCACCCACCTCCTCCTGCATGCCACACTCCAGCAGCATGGTGACACAGGCCTCCACTGGGAAGGCGATCTCGCGCCCGCTGACAGCCAGGTGCTCCTCCAGTGGCTTCCCAAAGGATGGCTTCTCCATCCACGCTTCTGTGAGGGCACAGGGCTGACAGGTCGCACCCTGCGTCCTCCTCACCCTCGCCCTGGGCTTCAGCTCAGGTGTTCAGCAAGTACTGAAGTGTTGTTGCAACACCACAACCCTGAGCTTTCAGCCCAGCCAATTCAAAAGTGTCTTGTAAAGGTGAAATCCATGCAAAATGCAATCACATTTCCTGATCCTAATGCATAGGATCGAGAGGGAAGAACACAAAGGTCACTCCCTACCCAGACCTGGGTGGCTGCAGGGGCGACAGTGAGGTGACCCCATGGGATGGGGACATTCCCCCAGCTCAGGGACAAGGGGGATCACAGCTGCATCATGCCACACTGCGGGCTGATGCCTCAGCCTCCTTGCAAAGCCACCCTGCAAGGCGAGGTGATGGGCTCTGCACCCCCAGCTCACCACTTGCCTTGAGCCCTGCATGCACTCACCCTGCTGGGCCTTGATCTGAGGCAGCACGCTCTGCAAAAGTGCCAGTGACTTCCTGTGGTACTCAGCTTGCACCTCGATCAGCTGCGGAGAGATGGCACAGACTGCACCCAATGTCACCGCCACGGCAAGGGCACGGGGTAGGGCAGCTGCAGAGCACAGCGGGATGGGGGGACCAGCGCAGTGCTCACCGTTTGGAAGTAGTTTGCATAGTCTATTTCTTTGGCCACGAAACTGTACATGTCAGCCGAGAGCTGGTCCTGTGGGAGCACGGAGGCAGGAGCTCACACCAAGCACCATGATGGCCATCGCTGCCCGTGGGTGACAACGTGAGCACTGACCCCAGGCTCCCTCCCTGCATCCGCAGCGCAGAGGTGTGCCCAGATACCACACAACCAGCAGCATCACTTGACTATGCCTTGTGCTGCACTTCATCCTCCTATACTTTGGTGTTTGCAAAGACCCCTGCCCTTGTGCCTTCTCAATACACTGTGCAGCTCCTTCATTGAACCACAGAACATCCTGAGTTGGAAGGGACCCACAAGGATCAAGCCCAGCTCCTGGCTCCACGCAGGAACACAATCAGCATGGGGATGGAGCAGATTTCTGAGGCCACTACAGTACTGGCCGTGTTCTGTTAGGGGCAACCTATCCCCACAGAGCTCAGTGTAAGCAGTGAGGAGCTCCCTGGCCCCTGGGGACGCTTTCAGACTGCTGAAGTCCATGGGATGCAGGTGACAGAGGAACCACAGCTGGCAAGCATCACCCAGATCTGGGATGGCACCTACTTTTGAGGGTGGCACAAACACCCTACAGTGTCCAGTGAGCGCAGGAAGAGGGTCAGGGCTGTGACAGGGCTGCTCTGGACAGGGGACCAGCAAGGGGAGGGGTTTCTGGTGGTCAATGGGTTCAGCAGAGGCAGTGGGGTGATTCACTGCAGGCTTCCCACTGGGCTGCAAGAGGATGCTGCAGCCCTGGCTGCGTGTGGAGCAGGTTTCCCCAAAGCACAGTGCCCCAACACTGCACCCTTCCCCCCACACTTCTGTCACAACCCAGGCTGACCCCATCCCAAGCCCTGGCCAGCAGTACCCTGCAAATCTCCACTCTGTTCGCTGCCTCCTCCATCTCCTCCCTGAGAGCATCGGCTTTGGCACCCGACGGCTGCAGGTTGCTCGACAGCCCCGAGGACTTTGCAGACTGCTGCCACCTGTAGACACAGGGCCGTGTCAGTGGGACACAGGGGACACACAGAGCTTGAGGGCAGCCTCAGGACCCTCTGCCAGACCACAGTGGTCCCCAGGGCTGAGCACCATGGTGAGGGTCTCAGCCTGTGCTGAATGCATGCGCTAATCCCAGACACAAATATCTCCAGCTTCAATTCAGCAATCATTTCCAGAAGGAGCCTCAGGCAGGTGGGATGAGAAAGGGAAGTAATGGGGCAGCAAAGGGGCATTGATGCCCCTGCCCTGCAGACACCCCTGCACTTGTCTCCTTGTGCAGGAATGGGCAAACTCAGCAGTTTTCCAGGTATTTGCAAACTGCCTCAGGAACAGCCCCATCTGCAGCCCCCAGGCCCCACCACAGCATCACCCAGAACATGGGGTGACACCAGAGGACATCCCACAGCCCCAGCAGAGCTCTGCCACTCCAGCACTGCTCTACAGCAGTAGACGCAACCAACTCTGTGCCTCCATGCAACAATTCAGCCAGACAGAGAGAAGAGGTAAAAATAAAGACTTGGGCCAGAAAAAACATCTCCTCTGCAGCGTGCATGGAAGGAGAAGAGCAGAAATATTGGCTCATTGCAGAGCCTGACTTCAAGGCACACAGAGGCACAGCTGTGATCTCCCAAGGCTGCTGGCCCTTGGCCAGGGCAGCACTGGAGAAGCCCCACACAAGGAGTGATGCTGGCCCTGCAGCCAGCTCAGCCACGGTTCCCACCTCGTCCTCGAGGAGTCCATGTCCAGCACCAGCTTCGCTAAGTGCTTCCTCTGCTTCTGGATATTTGGGATTTCCACCTGCAGCAACACACGGGTGGAGGAGGAGAAAAAAAAACATGGAATCACTGCAGCATTAGAAAGGCAGTGCAAACAACCCCTCCTCTGTGGTGTACAAAGCCCCTCGATCCTAACACACGTGCAAAATCCCCATCCCTAAAAGAAGCATCCTTTGGTCAGTGGGGCCTCCTGTGCCAGGAAGGCCGGCTGACGGCAGAAAAAGGCTGCCAGCATGTGCCAGCACAGCAGCAAGTCTTGTCATGCACCAACAGTGAGTGCCAAGGGCTTTGCAATGCCCGAAAGCCCCAGAGCTCAGCCTGGCCCTGCTCGCCTCTCCTGGTGTCAGCTCCATAAAGTTGAGGGAAGATGAAATCAGAATGGAGCCCATGGCATTTCACAAGACATAAAAGAGGGGGGGGGGGGGGGGAAAGAGCATTTGCAAAAATAAAAAGGAAAAAAACCCAGAGAGTTGGCATCAGGAGGAAAAAAAATCTCCAAACAACAACCATGCTTGGAAACGCGTTTCAGCAATACAAACGCACACGCCTCTGCCTTCAGGAAAGCAGAAAAGAGCAGCACAAGGACAGGAGAGCCCACAGCGGGGACAGCCAGCCATGCCCACCTCAGCCAGCACGAAGAGCGGCTCGATGACGTCCCTCTCCACCTGCAGCTCGAATTGGATGAGCTCCTGCGCCAGCTTGTCCTCCGCCTCCCCGCACAGCCGCAGCATCTTCCTGCAAGGCACGCACGGCTGGGGCAGGGGTGGGCTGGGGACAGCAGTGCCACGGGGACACGGCGACGCCAGCACCTCTTACCCCAGCAGGGAGTCATCGCCCAGCACGGCCGAGCCCTCCGTCAGGCACTGCGCCAGCGTCGTCAGCGGCAGCTTCTTCTGCAAAGGGAGCGCGGCGCCGTCAGACCCTGCGCACCGCAGGCAGCCCGCGCCTCGGGCACGGCACAGACACGTGCACCCGCCTGCAGAGCTCACCGAGCGCTTGTCGGCATCCACGCCCTGCTGGCCTTGCAGGCACGCCGTCAGCTTCTTGTGGGTGCTGTGGGACACCTGCTTCACCAGCTCCAGACGCTTCTCCACCTGTGGGCACAGAGGTGGCCGTCACCGCCCTGTCCCGTCCTGTGGGGCTCTTCCAACCAAAGGGAGTTTGGCTGAGGGCTTCTCTCCCAAGGAGGACTTCGCTTGATCCAAACTGGTGGACCTCCCCACACCTGGGGCGGAGAGCTGCCCGGTTTGCCACGGCCTTGGCTGAGCTGGGAAGTTGATCCCAAAGCTCAGTGAGATGAGTCACTGAGCATCAGCAAACACGATCTGCCCAAGAACAAAGCCGGGAGCATCGAGGTGGGGGGGTGGAGGGGGAACGAGCAGTGAAGCAGGAAGCACAACATCTGGAGGATCATCTGGGAGAACAACCAACCCACACAGTGCCACTGTCCCCCAGCATCTCTCTCCCCAGGCGTGACCCCCCCCCAAGGACAGCCACAGCCAAGAACTGCACCCAAAGCCGATACAGCCACGTCCCACACCCAGAGCCAGGCAGCAGCACTTCACCTGCAGGAGATCTTCGCTCAGCACCTCTGTCTTCTCAGCCCTGCAGGAAAAGGTTGAAAATTAGAGGTTGGTGATGGGACAGTGTGAAGTCCTGAGGGGAGGGGACTGTCCCCCTCTGCTCCAGATGGGGCAGTGTGCCCAGCCCCGGTGCAGTGCTGAGCTCCCCTGGGGATGGGGCTGTTTTTGCTGCAGAGAGGCAGATGTGCACAACTTACCCGCAGACCCAGCAGCCCCTGCATGCACTGATGCTGCACTGCTGGGTGATAAGGGAACAGTTACACCATGGCACGGTGTAACGCGTGTTCATAACCTGAGGGGCTTTTTACAGCATTGGTAAATCATTACTTCTTTAAAAACCAATCTGTGCCATGATGCGCTTGGACAGAGTGTGGAACTGAGCTAAAATGCAAAGGTCAGTTATGCTCTCCATGTTCAGCACTGGTTAACATGAGGCTGCAGCACAGCCACATCCTCTGACCTCCTTCCTAACAGCACCCAAACTGCCCCAGCTCTCCTTGCCTTCCAATATCTGAGACTGTTTTCTCAGCAGTGAGAGACCGAGCTGCAGAGGTGAAGCACTGAAAAGGTGGAAACAGAGAGCAAGAATGAGGAAAGGAAGAATGTGAAAGTAGAAGTGAATCATAGAATGATAGAATCATAGAACGGCCTGGGTTGAAAAGGACCACAGTGCTCATCCAGTTCCAATCCCCTGCTGTGTGCAGGTCACCAACCAGCAGCCCAGGCTGCCCAGAGCCACATCCAGCCTGGCCTTGAATGCCTGCAGGGATGGGGCATCCACAGCCTCCTTGGGCAACCTGTGCCAGTGCAGTGAAGAATAATGGAAAAAAAGCTGAAAGGCTGTGGCAGCAGCACAGCTCCCAGCAGGGCAGGGATGTCTGTGAGGTCGTTGGTGAGCACGCTGAGTTCAAAGCCTTTCTGGAAATGTGAATTAACGGTGCTAAATCTGGCTTGCATACGAAACTTGTCACAGTGTCCAATTTAAGGCAGTTTATTTGAAAGAGGCACAGAGAGCCCATCTGGTTCCATTAAAAAATTGGATTTAGATGCACGCACTGCGATCTCCTGTATTTGGAAAGCAATGGATCAGCTCTTCAGCTGCTGGGGGTACGGCCCCAGGGGTCCGGATGCTCCTCTGGGACTCCCAAACCCTTTCAGGGAGCTGTCACTCTGCCTTCCAGAGTGAAATCCCTTCGGTCATCCATGCCTTGCATTATTTAAGCACCTTCAAGGCACTGTGCAAACACCTGTGCCCAGGTGTGGAGATGGATGAAGGCAGCCGTGTAGAAAAGCAAAGATTTTTATGCCCAGCCATAAGGGCAGGTGAGAAATGAGCCACTGGGGAAGGCGGTCGCTTTGGATCCCTTGCATTTAAAAAACAAAACAAAACAAAAGCAAGAGCTGCTCAGATTTTACTCATCTCCTGCAGATCACCTTCAGTTCTTTTGGGCAGAGATGGAAATTGTACAAAATTATCCCGAATATGAGAGAAAGCAGCAAAAACCCAAAGGCAACAGAGGGCAAACCCACACACAGCACCCACACGGTGCTCCCCACCCCAGGCACCAGGAGCAGAACACATTCAGCATCATGTACCTGCTGTACAGAAGCAGATAGAGCAGACATGGTGCTCTATTCTACTTCCATGGAGAGGAAGGAGAGAGCAGAGAGACATGAGAGCATCGTGCACATTCACCCATTCACAGCTCTGGGAGCAAAGCATGGCTGCCACCTCCTCCATGCCCACTTCAGCCCCAGGTGCACTGAGCAATTTGCTCCTCACTCACGTCCATACAAACAGCCATCACCATTCAGAAAATGCTCCAAAAAAAGCAACACTTTTTATGTGCTTTCTCCTTTTCTGGACAACCAAACAGTGGGTTTGCACTTTGCCTGGGGCTGTCCAGCTCCAGCAGATCTCTCCCAGCCGTCACAAAACGCCACGTGCTAGGCTGTAATGCATGTGCAGGAAGCAGAAAACAACACTGCACATGGGCTAACAAAATCTGGCCTTGTTCTGCTTTCAAGCACTTGCAGCACAAGAAAACCTCCATGCCCATAACACCGGGCCCAGCACCCACATCCTGCCTGACCACAGGGCTCTGCCTGGGTTGGGAGCCCACCAGCAAACAGCCTGGCTGTGCAGAAGGGGGAGAAAAGAAGGCTGAGAGTCCTTTTCCTCCTCCTCTGTCTGAAGGTTCCTGTTTCTGTTCCAGAACACTGAGAAAAACCCAGAATTGATTCATCTCATCCCTGTTTGCTCCCCCCGGCAGCGCTCCAGAATCTGGAGATGACACCCAGGGGTGTGAGAACCAAGCAGCATCTCCAAACGCACATCAGCCCGGAACGAGCCGTTCCAGATTGCTTTTTCACACGTAAAGACTATAAGGAAAAAAATAAATCACATCATCTTACTCCACTGACATCAGATTGTATTGCAGCTCTGAGCCGGAAAAATCCCATTCTACCCGTGATGTTTCCAGCACCTCAGCCTATAATGAACACGGATTTGGAAGGGCTGCTGTGCCTCCTTCCTGCTGCGTGCTGGCTTTACTGTCCCCCACGGGTGCCTCCAATAACGCTGCCCTACAAAAACTTGCTCACATCCAAAGGAACCCATTGGGAAAGCAGTCTGGCAGCAGCGTTGCTTCTTGCAGATGAACCCCGTGCCCCAGGAATGCCCCCAGCCCCCCCAGAGCCCAGACTATGCACTGTGCTGGGCAGGGGGGATTAGCAGCTCCGTGCTCTCCCATCTTTCCGCCAGGCACAGAGCACGCTCCTCCCCTTCCCCTCCACACTCCCACCCCAGAGCTGTTTTTCTCAGCACAAATCCAGGCAATTCTCAGCCTCGGTCACCATGCAGACTCTTGGGTCGCTGCGAGCATCTGGGAGAAAGGGGACAATTAGTACATGGAGTTGGAAGCAAACGAGCGGGGGATGCAGCTACAATTTGCTTGGCGTTGGCTTCTGTGAAAACTAATTGTTGCCACCGGAAATCAACACCTATCGAGCAAATTAATTTGATTTAGTGATAAACATGCCATAATCTTCCAAGACAAAATTGTGCACTGAGCCAGGAGCTGCAGCGAGCTGTCTGATTCCCCTGAGCATCTCATCCCAGCGCCAGCAGGCAGAATCCAGGCTTCCACATCACAACATGCTCCCAAACCGGGGTGAGATGTCTTCCCCGGGGCTGAGCCCTGCTGCTGTGGCACTGGGAGGGGTGGAGGAGCGCTCCAGATCCTGCCACGATGCCTCCATGTATGGGCATCACTATACAGCTATGCTTCACCACAGAGTGAGCTCTGGGGATGAACCAACCAACCAACACAAGAAGCACAGCCTCGTATTTTGGCCATTTCAAACCCCATTCAGCATTTTGCTGCAATATTCTCCCTAAATGGGAAAACCATCCCCCAGAGTCCGTGCAGCTGGGATACGGGTCTGTCAGCTGCGGGGGCTGCATTGCATCCCACGGACAGCCTGCAGTGCCAAGGACAGGTTCCCAAGGACAGGAAGGAGGGCAGGGTTGAGCAGCTCCACACCTGCCTCCAGCAGCTCCACCTGCAGCCCTGGGTGCCGGCACCCCTGGGTGAGGTTTTGCCACGCACGGTTCAGCGTGCAGCTCGGGTAACCCAGGGCACTGCTTGACTCTGCTGATGGGGAATGAGTCAGAAGGAGGCTTTAATTAAGGCACAGCCCTGCGTGCAGAGCTGCTGCCAGGACCACGCAGAACCAGGGCCAGACCCTGCGTGCATCTCCTGCCCCCACCCCAGCACATGGATTTGGCAAATCCCTGCAGGTTCGGGGAGCCGGGAGGAGCGACGGTGATTTATGTGCAATTTGGGGACAAAACATTCAGACTGCTCCATTAATATTTCATTGCTCCATTCGCCAGCGCTGTCGGCTGAGGAGGATAAAAATACCCGGCTGGCTGCCTGCATCCGCTGCCACCACATCTCTGCTCCCCGAGCCCAGTGAGCCCAGGGTCTGCCTGGGGTGGGCAGTGGGATGAGGGGCTGCAGGTTGACAGTAAGCTGCACCCCACAACACACAGCACGCCGAGCCCTGCTGCAAACCCCATCGGAAAATCCTTGGTGATGCAGCTCGTCCTCACTCCCTCCATCCTTCCTTCTTGCAAGGCTGCATGCAGAAAAAAGCCTCTCTATTTAAAGCCTGTAGCTTGAAGCGTAGGCATCCCGATGCTTGAGGAAAAGGCTCTGCCCAGGAACAGAGCTTGCTGCCCCCCAACGCCATTCCAAAACAACCCCAACGAGGACACGTCCCCCCGCTTCCCTCCCTCCACGACTGCATTCCCAGCTGCCTGCTGTGCCTTCAGGCACCCAGGAGTGTCACTTTGCATGAGGCTGCTGCTGCCCGTTCCCTTCCTGACAGAGAGAAATCGGCACTCAGACAGTTCTGGAAACCTGGCGGGTGCTGCGGGTGCAGGAGCAGCATCACAGCCACTCCCCATGGCCTTGGCAGCCCCACACATGGAATGGGGAAGCACAGGAATAAAGCAGGAACACTCAGCGAGCATCACAGCCACTCACTGATCTCTCTTCCCTCTTTTCACCCCATGGAGATATGTATTACATCCCCTACAGACCAGCCACATCCATGCTGGGTGATGCTCCAGGCTGGGCACCAAGTTCGTCCCAGGGATGAGCACCTCTGATTCTCCACCTCCTTTAAACAAAACCAGGATTCTCACAGCCCTGTGTGTTTGTTTTTATAAGAGGGCTGGGAAAAGGGCTGTGAGGGGCAGCAGGGACAGAGCCAGCCTTGAGACCAGGAAGGTGCAGTGGAGCAGGAGGGGAGGCAGCAGAGGACAACAGGAGAGGATGGCGGAGTGGGACAGTGCTGTGCCAAGTGGCCATTTCCTTCCTCACTTCTGCCCTCTCTCCTTGCCCTTCCCCTTTTTCTATCGTGGTAAACAAAAGGAGTAAACGGCGCAGCGCAGCCTTTGGCCCCCATCCAAAGCTCGAGGTGCTGAGGAAAGGGCAGCTGTGTGGGGAAGGGGCAGTGCTGCTCCTCTGGGTGCTGCTGCTTCCTGGAACGGGGAGCCAAAGGGGTTTCCCCGAGTTACAGCACTGTTCAAAACATGATTTTAATACAGGTGCACAGCTCAGGTGCTGGCTAGGTAAAGTAATAACAGGGACAAGTGTGGGAGTGGCAGGATGGATCGGACCATCAGCTGCAAGCCTAGCACAAGCCATGGCAGCGATGTCCTTAAAGAGGGGCACAGCACCCAGCTGCCTCCCAGGCACACCCCATGGCAGGAGCACGGGGCTGGGGATGGCAGCTTTTATCCCCTGCCCCCAGCCCTAGTTCACACTCACTTGGGGAGAAGGCAACTACATCCACAGGGCTTGCCGGGAGGAGTGGGATCAGCACTCCTCCCATCTTCGTGGCACAGAGCAAACTGCCCTCAGCATCCCCACTGCTCTCAGCAACTTGAGGGATGGCGTCCATCTGCAGCATGGACCCTCCAGCACCCATCCCCAGGGTGGCAGCAGTGCAGGGATGTCAGCCCCGCACCCACAGACCCAGCCGGTCACAAGACAGTGCTGCAGCAGAGCACGGCAAAGGATTACTTATTTATTTGCCTGCTGAAAAGCCTGTGCGCGAGCGGGAATATTGCAAACGTGGGCGACAGGCTGACTGCTGCGTGTGAGCCCTACGGAGCAGAGCTTCCCCCTGGTCGGTCCCCATCCTGGAGAGCAGAGCACAAACCGCCCTGCAACGCTCCGAGCTGCAAATTCATGCTCCTGTCTGCGCCACCTGCCACGAGCATCTCCCAAACGGCCGTTACCCGGAGCGCTGCGCCCGCCCCCAGCCCAGCAGCGAGGCAGGAGGGCTCTGGGGCTGGCGGTGACCCCATTTTGAAGGCTGACGCGTGGGACACACAAGGTGCTGGCAGCAGCTGTGTTCCTCCAGCCCAGTCCCTGCTCCTCTTGAAGGAACCGAGCCCGGCGCAGCCCCCTCCATCCATCCCCGTGCTCCTGCTGCACGGCGCCGGTGGGGAACTGCGGCCATCTGCGGCCGTGCTGTGGGGATGTGTGACTGCACAGCGCCGTGGGATGAGGCACAGAGCTGCTGCCACTCGTCCCTATCACTCATCTCGGGAAGGAGGAGAATGGAGGGATGATGGATGCAGGGATGAATGTAGGGATGGAGGAGTGGATGTAGGGAGGGATGCAGGGATAGAAGGAAGGTTGCACGGAGGGATGGAGGGATATGCGCACAGCCATGGGAACACGGTGGCAGCCCCACAGAGGACACAAGGAGCAGCCCCCTGTAATGGGGTGCCCGCACACAGCCCTGCCCCAATGCCGGTGCCACCCGCCCTGGTGCCGTGTTGGAGTCGCGAAAGAAAAAAAAACAATAAATCCTTCCACCACCACCCCCCCCCACCGCTGCAAAATCTCAGGAATTACACAACAACCTCCTGCAAAGCCGCGGGTCTGGCCGTCGGCCCGGAGAGCATCACAGCACCCACACACCCCCACAGGCACCCCAACGCGTGCCACCCCGCACCACGCCGGCCCCAAAAACCCCGCGCTTCAGCCCGGGGGGAGCCCTCGAGGGATGGGTGCGGCCGCATGCAGGGATGCCAGGGGGAACACCGGAGGGTGATGGAGGGCTGGGGTTGGGGTAGGGGAGCGATGGGGTGCGATGTGCTCCGGAGCTGGGGTGCGGGCAGGGTGCAAGTGAGGCGCAGGCAGGGTGCGGGCGGGGTGCAAGTATGCAGCAAGGGGTGCGGGTGGAGGTGCAGGGCAGGTGCAGGCGGGGCGCACGGCCCGTCCCCGTCCCTACCTGCCCACGGTCTGGTTGGCGAGCTGGCGCATGCGATTGAATTGCTTCTTCATGGTGGCGGCGGCGCGGGCGCCCCTTACGCGGCCGCGGGCGGGCAGAGGGGAACCGCTCCCGGCGCCCCTCCCGCATCCCCGCCCGGCGCGCACCGGGCCGAGCCGAGCCGAACCGGGCCGAGAGGGGCCCCGCCGCCCCCGCGCCTCCCTCCGCCTGCGCGGGCCCCGCCGCCGCTCTCCGCGCCCCCCGCTCCGCGCTGCCCGCCCCGCGCCGCACCGCCCCGGCCGCGGCGGAGCTGGGAAATGTAGTCCCGGAGGGATCGGCCGGGAGAGGGGATTTCAGCCGGCCAGGCTGCCCCTCGTGTCCCTGCGGAACCCTGCGGCGTTCCTACAGCATCCCACCGCATCGCCAGCACCTCCCCGTGCTCAGCATCTCCCTCCGTGCGGCGGAGGGAACTGCGGAAACTTAACCTGGAGAAAAGGAGGCTCGGGGGGCACCTTATTGCTCCTTACGACGACATCATGAGGTTGTGGCGAGGTGGGGTCGGTTTCCGCTCCCAAGAAACGAGCAACAGGACAAGAGGGAATGGCCTCACACTGCATCAGTGTAGGTTGGGCATTAGCTAACATTTCTTTGTGGAGAGGGTCGTGAAGCGATGGAACAGACTGCCCGGGGACATAGCTGAGTCCTCGGGATCCCTGCAGGGATCTAGAAGGTGTGCAGATGTGGTGCCTGGGGACATGGTTTAGTGGTGCACTAGCAGTGCTAGCTTAATGGTTGGACTTGATGTTGGAAGCTTTTTGCAACCCAAATGCTTCTAAGACTCTCTGGATCTATCCCCCTGTGATCCCCAGCATCCTCACAGCATCCCACCAGCATCTCTCAGCATCTCCTATTGCCACTGTTGGAGCCCCACAGCTTGGAGTTCTGTCCCTGCATGGTGCAGGGCGTTTCCCCCTGCTGGGACAGTTCCTAAGCAGTGATCAATGCCAGCCCCGCTCCTTTTATTTCCTGGAAATTCAGTGCTCATCCAGTGGGAAAAGCTGAGAACTGCAGTGCTAATGGACAGCACACACATCTTGGCAGCTCAGTGCGGGCAGCACCGGCCCTGGGAGTCCCACACTGTGCACTCTGCCATCCCCCCCTGTACCAGGTGCCATCTGAGGACATTTGCATGTGGAGGGCTGAGCATGTTTGCCAAGTAACTGTTGTCCCTCCCTTCTCCCCTCCCTCATTGCCAATTTTGGCCAAAATCTGTAGTATTCTTCCCCATGGTTTTATTCCCTCCCAAGCCAGTGTAATTCCATGCCACGTGCTGGTACGATGGCTGCACCCCACACCGTGCACCCCAAACAAGCTCCTTTGGGCCACTCTGTCTGCCAGTGTACTTCTGGAGTGGGCTTCTGGGTGTCTCCAAGGCTCCTTCTTTTGCTCTGACATACCCCAAAAGCTGAGGCTGCACTGTGGCGATGCTCACTGGCCATGGCAGGGCAGAGTGCTGCTCCAGGCTGGCTCTGGGGCTCATCAAGGCAGCAGGGCACCCCTCTCTCTGCAGGCTCATGGCCGGCCCACCCCTACCATCCCTGCCTCACCAGCCCGTGCTGCTGCACCTCCAGGATCAGAGAGCATCGGCCCAGATTGGTCAGAGCCCATTAGCATCAGAGCCAGGCATGCCAGTGGGAAAAAATATGGGCCATCAACCCCATGTGAGCAGGGCACTGTCCCACTGCCCACACCCTTAGGCTCCTCCTGACCCACATCTGCTCCTGGGTAGTCAACTTGCCACCAAAATATGTCACAGGCAGATGCAACACTGCAGAGAAGTTCCCTGGAATGGCTTCCACGCACCTCTGTTCTCAGTTTCAGGATGCAGAGAAAGAGTTGGTGAGAGCAGTGCCCTGTGGTCCTGCAGCAGAAGGGTGGGAAGGGAGCAGAGGTGGTGGGCAGCAGGAGCAGCAAAGCTTGCAGCAAGGCTGCCCACTGTGTCAGCTGGGCAGTGTGACCCTCATGCAGCATTGAGACCTGACCGGGCCTGTCTGCATCCATTGTGCTGTGACACCACAGATCCTGAAGTGCACTGGAACTGCAAAGCCTCTGCCTGCTGCATAGCACTGCTCTGCCACATCTGGGTCACTGTGCTCGGCTTTCTGCTTCGTGCAGTGTAAATAACCATCAGACCTGTGGCTGTGAGCAAGCACTGGCAGGGCACGTTCCCAGCCTGCAGCAAGCATCCCTCCCTTCCCTGCATGCCTGGCTCTGCTGTGCCCAGGGCTTGGCCCTGCCATCTGCTGCCCTGGCCGGAGATGCCCTCCTCACTGCGCAGCACATGGCACTGCAGCTATTGCTCTATGGGTATTTGTGCAGCCCCTCTGTAGGAATCCCACTCACCTCACGTGCCACCAGCAGCCACACGGGAGCCAGGACCAAACCCCTGGCAGAGGGCTGCTCTGGGAGCCCCATTCCCAGGATGTTTTCCCTATTACAGAAATGCAGAGGAGGGTGTTTGTGTTTCCAGCCAAGGCTGCAAAGCCTCACTTACCACTGCTCTGCTCCCAGCACCTGGATTGTGCCCGGCCACAGCTGGGCAGCACAGCTCACAAGCCCACCCAGGGCTGCATGCTGCACCCCGCTGCTCGCAGAGGGGCAGGGAGGCATTAAGGTGCTTTGCAGATGATTTTGTTCTCGCTCTGCTATGCACAGCCAAGGCCTCAAGCAGAGCAGCTTCAGCACGCCCTGGCTGTGGGCAGCTGGCAGGGGAAAATTGCATTAGAATGGTATTAATTGCCTTAGTGCAGCACGACAGCTCACTCAGAGCCTGCAGAGCCAAAGGGATGCATGAGGTCAGGGGAAGCCAAAGCTCTGCTTTGTCCCAAGGCTTTGCATCAGCACAGGAAACGGATTGTCCTGGAGTCTGTGCAGACCTCATCCTTGGAGATATCAAAGCCCAACCAGGTGCAGCTGCTGGGGATGGCGAGGTGACCCCGAGGGGCTTCAGCCTTGCTGGGTTTGTTCTGAATGACAAGTCCTTTTTTTTTTTTGTGGTGACGTCACATCGGTCTGCCCGCGGGGCTTTTTAGCTGACCCTTTCCTTCTATCTCAGTTTTGGGGCAGAAAGGTCCCATGCAGGGTTCCCTAAGGGATCCCAAAGCCCTGCAGCATGCTGGCTTTCTTCTAATCCCTGCTCTCCCAAAACCCCTGTACAGAAATCACTACAACGATGTAGCACCAAAGCCTGAGGTCCATAAAAAGTGGATGGCTTACTTCAGGTCCCAGTCCTTCCAAGAGCTGAAGCAAAAATGCAATGAGTGTGAGCTCTGCCTGCAGAAAAGGGTTTCCCACTGGATTTAAACTTTGCAGTCCATGGTAATCCCCTTTCCCAAGGCTGTTCTTGTGTGATTCTTGGGCTGCTGTGGGAAAAACTGTGCCAGGCACTGAGCAGCTGCTCACCCTGTGCCAAAACCTGGATCATGGCATCAGCTCCCTGAGCAAAGTCCCCACTGCAGGCACTGGAGCCAGGAGAGCAGGGCATTCCGTGGGGCTGTGCAGATGGATGGGACGGGGTAAATCAGTAACTGCTGGTGACTCGTGGTGCAAGAGAACACAAGCTGTACTGCTCTCTGGCTTCCTCTACCTGCAGCAGGATCGGGGCAGTGACACTGCCACCACCAAATGCCAACCCCTGCAAGCGAAGCCAGTGCTTCCAAAACTTGTGCAAACTTCGTGGGGTGAGCAGTAGGTCCTGATGGCAGCTGGACATGCTGTGTGTAGGGCACTCTGAGCCTCAAATACCCGAAATACCAAATATACAATAAAGCCCTCCATCTGCGACATCTCTTGTCTGAGAACCACATGAATTCCTATTAGCCATCAGCACAGGCTTCCAGCTTTGTTGTGGGATCCATTTGAGACCCTCAGCCCTTCAAGGATGCTGCACGCACAGCAGGGATGTCCCACATGCCATTGGGTAGATGAGAAAGAAGTCCTACCACCTCCCTCAAGGCCCCAACTCTTGCAGTGAGACCCTGCCAGCACAGCCATTAGTCCCAGCTGAAGGTGTCTGTGGAGGGCAGTGAGAAATCTGCATTGCCCTGCACAGAAAGCACAGCAGCTCAGCACCTGCTGTTCCCCAGCCCAGGTCCAGGAGGAGATGCACATAGAGCTGTGCGCTCCACATGGAGGACCAGCTGAAGATGCCCTACATTGCATTAGTGATCCATGAGCTGCAGCTTCCAGCCAACCAACCCACCTCGAGAACCTGCTGCAGACATGGAGTTCTGGGACCACAGCACCCCCAGGGTGATGTAGTGGTCCTCTGTGCCTCCGAAGGGCTGGTAGAGGAAGTTTCACAGTAGAACTTGGACTGCTGGCTCACTCCAGAAGGTCAGAGAATCACAGAAACACAGAACATTCCCAAACTGGTAGGGACCGATGGGGATCACTGCATCCAAACCCCCGCCCCACACAGCATCATCCAAACCCTGTGGCAGAGAGCAGCATCCCAGCACTCCCTGAACCCCAGCAGATTGAAGCACCTGCCCAAAGCTTTCAGCATCCCAGAACAGTCTGAGCCAGGAAAACATTCACTTTGGTTTACCTGATTTGATTTTTGATATTTCTGGCAATACCAGAGAGTCAAATCAGGTAAATGAATGAAGTATATTATCATTATCTGGTAAATGAATGTCAGGAACACACTGCTTGCTGCAGAACACAGACCCCAAGCTGCAACCATGGGGAGTGGAACTCCAGCAAAATGCTTTCAGCTGGGGCAGGAGCACCAGAGCCAACAAAGGGGCTGAGTCACAGCCAGGCTGTGCTGTGCTTCAGTGCTGTGCAGCAGATAAGGAGTGCTGCCTGCTGCCCAGCTGCTGGGCTCAACTCCTCCATGTCCTGCACTCAGTGTTTGTCCCTGGCACATACCCCCAGGTGCGGCTCAGCACGGTGCAGACGGAGAACTCCCTCCAGGTTTTGCTTTTGGAAGCAGATGGCAGAGCAGGGCACGGTCACGGCTGTCTGCAGGGAGGTGGGGATGTCCTTTGGGGTCCCTGTGTGGTTTTGGTGGTTGCTCGTACCTTCCTGCCTGC